GCAATGCCAGGTGTGTCCTAAAAGAAAACAAAAAATCACAACAACAACAGTAAAACAACAATAAAACTTCTTCAGTAAAATCTTGAAAATATATGCTTAATAGTCAAATAATAAAGTGATAATAACTTCCCTTAGAGACTCTTTAATGATAAGCTTCCAGGAATAAATTCTAAATGTGGAGTTCCCGAGATTCATAAGCCCAATAGAGTAGGTTTGAAGCAAGAAGCCTTTCTGCTACTGTCAAGTGTGCAAATGTGTGATCTGCCTCTTATCCTGGCTCTCCCTCAGAGCTCCTTGCTATAGTCCATTCTTCCAAATGGCTGTTTGTCTTTCACCAGACTAGATCTTCTTCCCATTTTTGAAAGGAGCTGCCATGACAAATCTGAAGTTTCAAGTTTCTCCATTATTATCTTTCTTTCAGTAGGGATGTTTAACTCTAAATAAGCCTTTTGTTTGTATTGTGATGAATTCAAACGAAAAGACCTGGTGAGTTTAAAGTTAGCATCCTCTAGAAAAAACAAATAGCAGTTAACTTTTTGTTTATTTATGGGTGGGGAGTTGCTTAAATTGTAAGTTTCATTTCTCCAATCTATTTTTAATTTTTTTATTGAATCAATATGAGATAAACGCTTAAACAGTTGTTCATGGTTAGATTTCAGTTACACAGTATTCCAACACCCATCCCTCTACCAGTGTACATTTCCCAGCACCATTATCCCCAGGTTACCTTCCATTCCCCCTCACCACCCTGCTTGCCCATATGCCAGGGGCTTTTCTTCTCTGTCTCTGTCTCTGCCTCTGTTCTAATCTATTTTTGTGTCTGCAAAGATCCTGAAACTTGTTTTATTACATTACCTGTCAAGGCAGAGTGACCTCACTCGACAGGCTTAGCAGTCAAAGTTATCTTACGAGGGTGAGATGAGTTCATCTCCCTGTGTTGATGGGAATCATCCTCAACATGGTGAGCTCTGTGGAATATATTAGTTCTGCTCTTTAGAACGAGTTACCGGGGCAGTTGTGAGAACTTTATATAAGTTCCCACGATGCTTATTTGAATTTTAGGAATGACAGGTTCTTGGACGATAGAGCCATAATTTCCCAAAAGGCCAGAAGAAGACAACCCTACAGACTTTACTTCTCATCTTGACAATGGCCTCGACATATCTGAGGTCAGAAAGTCCTGCAGGCCTCTGACAGTGGGGTTGAGATGTACCTTTGACACTCCTCTGACTCCAGGTCTGAATCTGGTAACCTCAATGTCCGGGGTAAAACACAACCAATCTCCTGAAATGGGAAAACTATTAATTTAGAGGTCTAGATTTAGAACATATCTTGAGATCTTCTTTACCCACCTCTTTTCCTCCAAATTTTGGTGCTTGGTACCTCCTAATACAATTGTCAATACAATATAGTATTTTCTGAACTTGCCTCTTAGCATACCTTGTCTAAACCAAACTTTCTTTTGGTTCTGTGAAAGTCATAATCTAAAGTGAACACAAGATTTAGGAGGTTTCTTTATCTTTAGCTAATTACGATTTTTTTTTTTTTGCTAATAATGAATTTTGACTCATGGAAGGAACACTGCACCTGAAAGGTCTCATGTTCTTTATTTAATTTAATGTTCTTAACTTTATTATGGATGATAACTGCTTAATTCTCTGCTATAGGGAAAAGCAGATTTAGAACCTGAACTTCCTTTAGTCACAATAAAAGATTGAGGTATAGAGTTCTAATTTTCTCTATCATAGTTGGTTCTTTTCTAAATTTGAAGGACCAAAAAATATTGTTGTTTTGTTTGGGGGCAATACTCTGCTAGGCTCAGAGCTTACATCTGGCTCTTCATTCAGGGATCACACCTGGAGGGGCTTGGAACCATATGGGATAGATATTGAAATACCAGCTAGGTATTGAAATAAATTACACTGGGACTGCCGCATGCAAGGTTGGCATCCTATCATGCTGTACTATCTCCAACCATTGGTTTTATTATATCATATCCCACATAGCTATGCTAGCCAAGCTTAAAGTTTTAGGAATATAAAATAAAATTTAAGTAAATATTGAATAAGTCAAATGAATGAAGTATGAACCATCTACTCATAATTCAATACACTCTTTTCCCCCTACCTATTGCAAATCAGATATCATTTTGTAGTTGAGATGAACTTCTTTCTGAGTCAATGAAGTCACTAAGGAAAAAAAAGTGTGACCTTTACAAAGTTCTATTTCTTATTCCACTATGTTCCCTTTTTTTTTAATGTGATATTTTTCCTTGACTCTATTATTTAACTCAGCAGGTTAACACAAATAAACCTTCAAGTCTTTTTCTGAGATTCATTTTCTAATAAGTAAATTAATATGCTTATTTGAAGCTTGGGCTGGAGCTATAGCACAGTGGGTTTGCCTTGCACACAGCCAACATGGCTGACCTGAGTTCGATTTCTCCGCCCTTCTCAGAGAGTTCTGTGAGGTACCGAGAATATCTCGCCCGCACGGCAAAGCCTGGCAAGCTCCCCGTGACGTACTCGATATGCCAAACACAGTAACAAGTCTCACAATGTTACTGGGGCCGCTCGAGCAAATCGATGAACATGGGGAGGACAGCAGCAGTGACAGTGATTTGAAGTTTACTCTCCTTAGGAATTTTGCTCTAAGCACTGTCATGTCAGTGTGCATATACTTCATCATATATGAATATACACATACATAAATGAGTGTATCGAAATTTTAGGTGACATGGTAGATTTTTTAGGCTGATTTTCAAGATAGAATTTGTAGTTTGATGCAGAGGTAAATTTGGAATATGTAACAATTTTAGTAAGTAATGTATAGGTACAAATCAACTGGAATGGAAGTCTTTAATAAGTTTTATCAGAGTAACTTTTACAAAGTTTTTGCAACCTAGCATTAACCCCTTGGTTCTTGAAATATGGGTTTCTGGACAATCCTGAGTGGAAGAGTCGGGACATGGGTTGGCATCATGGAAAACTTTAACTCAACTAAACTTTCACTGTTGACCAGCTAATGTAGAGGTTCAGTATTTACTGTATCTGTACACATTAGTTTTACATTGTAAATATATAGCTAAAAGCAAGGAATGAGAATGGTATATCATATTGATATTTAGAAGATACTGAATATATTTAAAAGGTATTAATGGGCTGGAGCGATAGCACAGCGGTAAGGCGTTCGCCTTACAAGTGGCCAACATGGCCGACCCGAGTTCGATTCCTCCGCCCCTCTCGGAGAGCCCGGCAAGCTACCGAGAGTATTCGATATGCCAGACACAGTAACAACAAAGTCTCCAATGGAGACGTTACTGGGCCCGCTCGAGCAAATCGACGATCAACGGGAGGGCCTTTACTTTACTTACTTTAATGTGTTTAATAAAATAACAATGAGCCATAAAATAGCAAAATAATTTAAATTCTTTTCATGCTTGAATCCAAAGGATGTATTATATTGGTGTTTACGAAATCCAAGAACTTTAGTTCTGATTTTATGAAATCTGATGATTTTAGAAAAAAATACAACAGTTCTTTTGTTTTCATGAATCCAAGGAACGTGATTATTATTTTCCACAGTTAATGTTATCCAGGTCTTGAAGCTGGGATTCAACTAATTTCCTTTATCTCTCCTTCAAGACTTCTCCTTTTGCCTAATAATCAGCTGGCTGGAATGTGACCAATGATTTCACTCTTCAAATAAGAAAAATAGGCGAAGTTTAGTGTCCTGACTGTCAACAGATCTTTTTTTTAAGTGTCTAGGGATGTTCTTTAATAGGCCTAAAAGCAAAACTGAAATAATTTCCCTTCATGAAGATAAATGTGCTGGATAGCAGGACTATGCTAAGTGGGTCTGGGTTCCAACTCTCCTCCCTAGTCTGTGGTCTTAGGTAAGATACTCGACTTCTCTGTGCCTCAGTACCCTGGGGTAGGAATGTGTGATGATACTTATCTCACTGTGTTAAGGGTATGAAATGAAAATATATGTAAAGCACTTAAGAAGTATCTGACTCCTACCTAGTAAAGTTCGCTATTACTGTTCATGATTTTATATATTCTTCTGGACATAACTAAGGCTTCTTCAGCACTCACTCTGTTAAGCAGATACTGGCTGGATACAGAAAGACATGCCAGGTAGAATATAGATTAGTCTCACCACAGGGATTAAATGCCAGGAAGCAGGGTAATGGAGCAAAGAGAAGGTGTCTAGAATTCACTTTCTTTAAAATGTGGGCTGTGAACTGCTTAAGGGAAGGGAATGGGGATGGGTGATCCGGCTGGTATGGTTGAGCAAAGATGGTGCAAGGAGCCAGATGTAGGATGGAGCCTATGATTTTGCTTTGCGGGTGCTGGAGTTTTTTTTGTCTTTTGGTTGTTAAGGTGAATGAAATCCATGAGTTAGGTAGTAGAAAGTAAGTGGAAAACCTTGGAAAGTTGCCCAAAGCTCCGAGAATTCTTCTGAGGGCTCTCTGAACTCAACTTTTATAGATCAGAAAGGCCCACAGGAAGAGTGTTTTAGAACGCACTGGGGGCCGGTCGGGGGAAGGAACTGCAAAGGACCTCGCATTTTGCAGGGAGTAAACTAAGTTCCTTTTTCGCCCTAGCCGACTGAAAGGTTACTCTATTGCAAAGAGTGGATTAACGTAGATGTTTAAGTTGTAAAAAGATAAACATCCTAATCTAAACAGCCCATCTAAAACCTTTTGGCGAAAGCGTTTGTGTTTTAGAGCTTCCAGAACTCCTCCGCCCGCCCAAGGCCGCAGCAACCGACGAGCAGAGCCGGGAGAGGCAGCGAGTGGTAATGGGCGCTTCACGCATGCGTTAGAAGCCGCCCCAACTCCCCCGCGGCGGCCTTTCTCCGAACAAAACTAGCGCGGAGCCACGGAGCTCCGCATTTTGCGTAGACTCGTATTTCCTCTTGCAGTGCCCGTCCGTGAGGACTCCGCGCGTGGTGGTGCAGTTCCCCTACGCTAGCGGCGTTATTCGAAGTGAATGGCTGGGTAGTGCGTGTACGCCCAGAACGTAGCACCCATAGGCGGACGGGGTGCGGCTGCGCAGGGGCAGGAGTGGGCTCTGTACGCCAGTAACGTAGCGGGGAGTCGGGCACGCGGGCCTCCGCGACGCAGTTGGCGCAGCCGGCGTTGGTGAATACACGATTTGGTGCAGCCGGGCTTTGGTACCGAGCGGAGAGGAGATGCACACGGCACTCGAGTGTGAGGTAACTATAAAACCCCGATTTGTTTACATTCCCTCCCCCAGAACCGGCCCCATGCGCGGCGGAGACTGCGAGTCCCGGGACGGCGGCGGGTGGTGGTGGTGGGGGTTTAGAAAGCGAGACCAGAACCGGGGAGTTGGGCTTGGGTCCCTCGGGGATCCCGGCGCTGGGGTGGCCGCAGCTGCTGCAGGCGGCGGCGAGCGGGGGCCGGGCGCGCGGTGGGCTGCGCGCGGGGCTGCCGCGCTCCCTCGTGTCGGCGGCGCCGGGCTGCGGCGGGCTTGGCGGCCGAGCTCAGCCTCCTTCCCGCGTGCAGCCGGGACCCGGCCCCCGACTCTGCCTCCAGCCGCGGCCGGGGGAAGCGGCGCGGGCGGCGGTGGGAGTGGGGGAGTGGCCGCTGGACGGGCGGTGGCGGTTAGGGGGGCCTGCGCGCGGGGACCCGGGGTGGGTGGGTGGGTGGGAAACTGAGTGCGATTTGCCCTGCCAAGGCGTGGGGGGGCACCCCGCAGTCCGACCCGGGGGGCGGAGGGGGCGGTTCCTCCCTTCTCCGCGCCCGGGTGCGGGTCTCTCCGTCCGAGGATGGAACCCCGGCGCCGCTGTTCTGGCCGCCGGGTGCTTAACGGACGGCGCTGCCGGTGCTGCTATCGCGGGGGGCCTCGTGGGCCCCCCGACCAACCGAAAAGCGAGGCGGGCCGCCGGGGGTGTGCGTGTGTGTATGTGCACGCGGGGTCCGCTGGGGTCCCCCACCCACCCACCCCGAGCCCTCCGCTCGGGCGGGGCAGGGCGGGAGGGGGGGAGGCAGACGGGTTGGGCCGGGAAGTGGCGCGGCCGCCGGGGCTTTGTTCCCGAAAACCCCGTCCGGAGAGCGCGCCGGGGCTGGGCCGGGGCGGTGCATCGGGGAACTTGGCGGGGGGCCCCCACCCCGCCCCCACCCCCGGGCTGGGCGGCTGCTGAGCCCAGGGCCCTTCCTGGGGTGTTGGGGGGGGGGGGTGGACCCCGGCCGAAGCCGGGGGCTGTGCGAGGGCTCGGGCGACGTGACGTTGGAGGGCTTCCTGTGGCTTCGGTGCTGAGCCGCTCACGTGGGCGCCGTCCACATGGGCCACCCCGACGCGCTGGGCACCGGCGAGAACTCATCGCGGCGGGACGCGCCGCCCCCCTCCCCACCCCACCCCACCCCGCCCCCGCCCCCGCCCCCACCCCCACCGCGCGTCCCAAGTTGGAAAGGGTCGTTCCTTCCCGGCTCTGTAATTTTTGAGTTCTTATGGAGTGACATTCAAAGCACATGAAAAAGAAAAAAAAAAAGATGGCAGATGCTACACCCCTTGGGGTTTTTTTATTTTGTAACTTTTCCCCTCCCACGCCGGCCAGTCCTCTAGTTTTACCTGGGAACTGAGTCGGGATGGATCCAAACTCGCCCCTGGCAGGTTTGCATTTCATTTGTGTGTGTGTTGAAGAGGGGGGGGGGGAGGGAAGTTCTTTTGTTTTGTTTTTCACCCCCCGGTGTGCATCTAAATGCTCCTTAATTGACACCCAAGCTGGTAATGGGGAAGGAAAGACGGAGGTTTTGAGTAAGTTTGTCATTGAAATTGACGGGTGTAGGGTGGTAGGGTGAACTGTTGAGACTTAGGGTTCGGTGTGGTTTGAGCACCAGATGGTTTCAGGTCACTTGTTCTGTACCTGGGAGTTCTTGGTGAAGAACCCACATGATCAGACACCAATTAAACCAGCAGGGAGAGAAAGAAATACACAGTACGAGTGATAAGTACTGTGTGTGGGGGGGGGGGAGGGGGTGGAGGGGGGACGGGGACGGGGACGGGACTAAACAGTGATTTGCTGGGGTCCGGGGTGGGAGGGGGGAGATTCATTCGAACTCTTTTGTGTGATGAGCACAAGAAGGGTTTAAATGTGATTCAAAAGGTTAAATACGAAGTAATTCGTGCTTTAACAAAGCAGTGGCAGGCCTTACCAGTTTCAAAATAGTGAAGACTGAATGATCCTTAATCTAATCGAACCTTTTTTTTTTAAAGCAAGTAGTGCATAACTGACTTTGTAACTGAAGGTGTAATTCAGTTCCAGAGATTAATTGAACTGTATCTTTGTTCTCCCTACAGCTTCTCAAAGCTAAGTTTCTTAGGTTGCCTAGTGGTTAAAGAACCATGTGCAAAAATCCTGGTGCTACTTTGAAACAATGTTTAGAAAAGTGACCTTTTAGGATAGGACAGCATGTAATGATGACCTGAATTTGTTCTTAGTATCAATTTATATTTCACTGGCAGTTTAAAAGTTCTTTATGACTTGAACATCATCTTTGACTCTTTTTTGATTAGTTATTTTATTGAGATGTATAGCTTATAATACTGAATTTTATAATTATAATTGCAGAGCTACTACAACAGTGAACATCTGATTTGAAGCAGGCCTAGCGTTTAGCATGCAACTACTACAGGAGGAGTTTTTTTTTTTTTTAAAAAATTGATTTATGGAAAAGATAGGCATATTAAAGGCAGTCTTTTAACAGTTGTTTATAATTAAGGGAATTAACCTATTGGTCAGTTTAGGACTTTAGATGAAGCTTAAGGTTCAAAACTATTAATGTTGAAAAATGTTACTTAGTTTGATACATTTGCTTTGTCTTAGGCTTCTGAATTTCAGTCTTTAATCATTATTTTGGTTTTGGGGCCACAACCGGATATGCCCCTGGCTCTCTGTTTAGGGATCACTCCTGGTGCGGCTCTGGAACAGTATGTGGTGCCAAGGATCAAACCCAAGTCAACCAAATACCAGGCTGGCGCCTTAACCACTGTACTATTGCTCTGGCCGTTGAATCTCAGTCTTTGAACTTGAATTGAAAAACCCAACCTGCTGTTTACTGTAACAAAAATGATATGAACTAAAGGACTACAAATAATTCATTTACCTTTTTTTCTACATTTATTTCAGTTCTTCATTAGTGATTGAAGGACTTTCTTTTTCTTCCTTTCTTGATTAGCCCTTAATTATTTCTAATAGGTTTTTGCAGGTGTATACTTAGTTACTGTATTCTTTTTCAGGTAGCCAACATACTTTTTTCTGCCTCTCTTGCATTTCCTGACATAACATACATCTTATTTTCCCCTGCCAGACTGTTCCTTAAGGGATATGTTCCATCACTTTTTTGTCACATAGTGCTCATGAATGTGCAATGCTTGGTTGTCTCATATTTATAATGAATTTTCAATTGTTAATTGAGTGAAATAAAACTTATTTTTAGCATTACCCACAAGAAAGACTTGGAAGTGAAACATCAGCCCTTGTCTGTGTAGTATCTACCTCAAGAGTGCACGTGCAATAGACTTGTGTATTTTCACATACATGGGAGATGAGCGCATTTAAAGCCTGTCTGTATTTACACATCAAAGATGCAAAAGAAAGCAAGCATGCTGTAGAAAATGGAAAAGAGTAGAAAGTCAAAGTTGTTTTTGTAACCAATTTTAAACCCTCAAAAGTGACCTCTCCTTAAGATATACTAACTTTTAAGTTAAAACTTAGATCCTATCTCCACATAGTTTGCTACTGCCCCCTAGTGTTTGATTGCCTAAGAAATTTTCTTTGGCTTGACTTTACCTTTCCTAAAGCAGGATCTGTGTAAATTACAGTTCCTCAGTGCTGTATACCAGTTGTCTTTAAAAGTTCCTCTACTGCTGTTAATCTGGTAGTCATCTGAGTAGGTTAACCTTGATAGCTTTTAGCCCATTGTTTTCTAGTAGGGGATTGAGAGCTAAGAGCAGTACAATACCAAGCTTCCTTGCTGGAGTCTGGAATTAGTACAAAGAATATTTATGTTTAAGGAGGGTCTCTGAAATTGGTTTTACATAGGAAGAGCAGCAATTTGTATTTAATCTGGTTTTTTTTTTTATGAATGACAAAACATTTGCTTTGTGACATTTGTCTCATGTAATGGTACTGCCTTAAGTATGAAAAATAAATTAGAAAATGTTAATCATACAGTAAGCTATTTTTAAATTCAAATTTATTTTGAACTATGATCATAGAATAATTTTTGAAAAGTAGAATAATTTTTGAAAAATAGTTTCAAGGACTTTATTGATAACTATAAGATTTCTGTAGTTATCTTCTATTGAAGCCGTAAGGTTTCAAATAATCCAGTTACCAGTGTTCTGAACATTTTTTCCTTTTTTAATTATTTTCTACTTATATGTTCTGTGAGTTGGCAATATGGTAACTTACAGGCTTTTCCAAGCTAGGCAAAATAAATTCTCAAAAATTTGCCACAGCCCGAGACTGGAGATACAGTACAACAGGTAAGGTGCCTGCCTTCCACACCCTGGTTTAATCCTTGGCATCCTATATGGTCCCCTGCGCACTGCCAGAAGTGATTCCTGGATGCAGAGCCAGGAGTAACCCCTGTGAATCAACAGGGTGTGGCCAAAATTACCCCTACCCCTGAAAAAAAAAGTCACAACTAGAATATTAAAAAATGTGCTTTCGGGACTTCTGCAGTGGGTGGAGTGCTTGCGTTGCATGTACCTGACACGGGTTCAGTTTCCAGAACCCCTTATGGTCTCCCGAGACCCATCAGGAATGATCCCTGAGTGTAAGGCCAGGAATAAATCCTGAGCACTGCTGGGTGTGACCGTGATCCAAAACAAAAAAGTTTGTTTTATAGAGATGCACATCAGTAGGACTGTAGATAGTTTTGTAGATAGCACATCGGGAGGGCATTTGCCTTGCGTGCAGCTGGCCTGGCCGAGGTTCGATTTCTCCACCCCTCTCGGAGAGCCCGGCAAGCTACTGAGAGTATCTCGGGCCGCACAGCAAAGACTGGCAAGCTACCCATGATGTATTCAATATGCCAGACACAGTAACAACAAGTATCATGATGGAGATGTTACTGGGCCCGCTCGAGCAAATCGATGAACAACGGGAGGACAGTGGACAGTGCTACAGTAGAGATGAAGAAAATTTACAACACAAATAGTAATATTCTAGTAATATAACTGAAGATT